AGCTACAAGTGACTTCAGAATAGGAATTTATCCTCTCCTGTAACAAGATGCCTGAAGTAGGCAGCTCTAGTGTTGCTAAATGAGCAGCACAATGAAGGCATCAAGAAACAGGCTCTTTCCCTCATTTTCTTGTTTGCCCTGAACACATCACTGTTCACACTTAGGGTTGTCCACTTGAGGCTGCAAAATAACTGTCGTAGCTTCAGAAACCACATCCCTACCAACTGCATACAAAGGCAGGATAAAGGGTTAAGAGCATCTTCTGAAGAGCATCTTCTTATCATAGAGAACTTGCCCAGAACCCCTTTCCTAGCGTACTTATTCATCTCCTTCTCTAGCTGCATCGCAGGCCCTCTGCTAAACCAATCATTGGCAGAGAGCTATGGGTCCTCCATGAAGGCTTTAGGAAAATGATGATTAATCCAACAGGGGGTCGACCCACCTTCCCTGAGCACATTGCTGCTTGATCGCAAGTTTAGAGTTCTGGGTGCAAGGAAGAATGTGGGAGGGGCTGGGAACCAACAGCTGGGCAGACAGCCAACTTTGCATTAGTTACAAACTTTTCCAGAATAACTTTCTCTATTTATCTATACCTCCTATACGTGTGTGTGTGTGTTTTGTGTAAAAAAAAAAAAAAATTTAAGCCTGTTTATTTTTTTGGCCATGCTGCATGACGTGCAGGATCTTCCCTGCTATAAAGGATAGAACCCCTGCCCCCTGCAGTGGAAATAGAGTCTTAACCACTGGACTACCAGGGAAGTCCAAGGGATGATATTTTTTTGATAACTATGGCTTTTCCACATTCTTGGAAGAGAAGGATTATATTTTCAAATGATTTCTCTTTTGTTTTAGTGTCAGAGCTCTTCCAGGTACTTCTTCAGAAAAATAATAGGAAAATAAGCATCTTGGGGGCTTAAGCCTAGGGTAAGTGTGACTGTGGGGAAGGCACTGTTCTGAGCAGGAGTGGGCCCCACAGAGCAGCAGGCGGGGCCCAGGACAGAGGACCACTCAGAGACCCCAAGAGCAGAGACTTCCGAAACTGACTTTTAAGTTTTCTTTTCCTGCACCGAAATGTCCTTAGGATAGGTAGTTGTAAGCATTCAGTAAATCTTATCAACTGCATCCCAACATCAGCTTTTTATTATTAATAGCAGTACCTGGTGTAAAAAAAAAAAAAAACATGGAGCACAAGAGCAGGTTAGGAAGAACAGCTTGAAAGAGCAATTTCAGGACAGCAGAAAGCATTTAACCAGAAGAAGCAAACCCACAGAGGCTGAAAGTTGGTTAGCAATGCCAGGGGCTGGGGAGATTCAGGAGAAATGGATAGTGACTTCTAATGGGTACAGGATTTCTTTTCAGGACAATAAAAATGTTTTGGAATTAGTGGTAACAGTTGTACCATTCTATAAACATGCTAATGACTATCGTGCACTTAAAACGAGCAAGTTTTATGGTATGTAAATTATATTTCAATAAAGTCTGTTTTCAAAAGGATCAACACAGCAGCTGGGAACAGGAAGTAGTCAGCAACACTGGGCATGCTCAGTGAATCCTCAGAAACTCTAGTCTGCAGGTCTGTACTTCTCAGGGTTGTTTAAGGTGATGGATTAAGTTGACTTGTTTGAATATTAAATGAGTGATGGACTGGAAAGTCTGGAGATCTTGGGGACTTGGTTACAATAGCAATAGAAGCCCTTTCTTGATTCTGTTTCCATGATACCTCAACTGCTCTCTGGGTCCCTTGGTGCTCACAAACAGGACACTCTTCATATACACACACATATAGGTTGTAGCCTTTCTCTTTCTGAGGACAGCAGACTCTATGGTCCTCACTGAGTTGCAATGAACTACCCACTGGAACTACCCACCAGCACTCCCACGTTCTCCAGCTTTAGGATGTCAGGTTGAATGCGTCTCACCGAGAGGCACGATAGCATAATGGCGAGATAGCTGGGCACAGGAGTCAGACTGCCCGGGTTCAAGTCAGCTCCCACATCTACAGGTTACCAGCTAAGAGGTCAGGGGAAGTTACTTGGCCCTCCACACCGTGCAGTTTACTCTTTGTATTATTGGGATAATATTGATGCCAACCCGTAGAAATATTGTAAGAATTACATGAATTAGTCCATGTAAAACACTGAGAACTGCACCTAGCACCTAGCAAGGACTATAATAATAAACCTCAGATATTATTACTTATAATAGTGTGCAATACAAAACATTGCTCCAACATCCAGGGCATTTGAGAAGCATGAATGTAGGATTCACCTGAATTGTAAACTGAAGACAAGGATGACAGGTAAAACCATGGGTTGTTTAAGACCATGGGTGATACAGAATAGATGGTAATTTTTAAGAGACCAGAGTGGCATATCAAATCCCTAGTCAGGGGTAGGGGTAAAAGCTTGTGTGGTGAAAAATGAAAAACAAACAAAACAAGCAAAAAATACCAAAAAACAAAAAACCTCTTTTTAGTCCTTTTACCCCACATTGTTGCTAAGAACCAGTCATTTATATTTGTGTCACTTGGGATTCTTTGTTGTTGAAAGTGGCAGAAATCTCAACTTAGTGATTAAGGCAAATAAAAACAATTTTTAAAAAAAGACCTTGTTTTATATCTGATAATCTGAGGTCTAGTGCTAACTTGTAGGAAAGTCGTCTGAATGCCAGGGCCCTGTGAAATCAGGACTCAGGACTCAGTTTCTCTCTCTCTCTACCACTCTGGTCCACCTCTCTGGGTTGACTTTTTCCTGTTGTATCTTTTCCTGGTGGTAAGATGACAACAGTATGTCTTCCCCACCCCCACCCCACCCTCCTAGGCTCAAGGCCAGTGAAAGGAAAAATATTGTTGTTGCTTAGTCGCTCAGTTGCATCTGACTCTTTATGACCCCATGGACTGTAGCCCACCAGACTCCTCTAGTCATGGGATTTCCCAGGCAAGAATGCTGGAGTGTGTTGTCATTTCCTTCTCCAGGGGATCTTCCCAGCCCAGGGATCCAACTCGCATCTCCTGCACTGGCAGCCAGACTCTTTCCTGCTGAACCATCAGGCAAGCCCAGAAGAGAAAAATAGGAAACTCAAGTCTTACCAAAAGTACCTTTGCACCTTCCTGCCTCTGACAGGTCCCAGGACCATCCCTGAATGAATGGAGTTCATTCATCCAAGTAGAGGAAATGCTTCCATTGGACTGGTTGGAGTGTCTCTACAAATGTTTCTACAAGTCTATTGGAGGAAAAGAGTTAATTTTTTTTGTCAAAAATGCAAACACACAGTTTTAACCAGAAGGGAATTTTTTCAGTGAAAAACAATCATTTTATTGATTTGCCTGATAATGGACTTAAAAAAATATATGTATTTTTTGTTCAGCTTTGCTGCTTTTCACGGATTCTCAGCTTCATAGAGTAGCTACAGGATGTTGCCTTCTGGCATGCTGGCATTACCTTTAATGCTTATTTTGAAAGAAGTCATTATAACTCTAGTCAACCATTTCTAACTGCAGCCATATGACAGCTCCTACCACTTAAATGGCTTCTAGAGGTACCTATGGAAACATCAATTGCTGATGAAAACAAGCAAGCCAGAACCAATCATAAACCATCACAATGACACTTACAAGCTTGTAGAGACAGACTGATGCCTCTGCTTTTTGCTTGGTTTTGATCTTTGGAAAAGAAAGAAAAATAAGGTCTCAGAAACATGCTGGCAAATAATGATTGTCTTCACCCTCCAAGTACCTCTCCGGAAGGGGGCTGACAGGAAGACTTCCTCTGGTTTCCCACTTTGATGACGTTTCAAACTCCATCTTAACTGAAGTCAGTTGTGGCTGGCTCTCACAAGACAGCATGAGGCAGGACTTTATTTTCACTTTACTTTTCCTTGACTGGAAAATGGGAGTGTTTTTGATGTGGTTGTTTGACACCAAACTGCCATGCTAATTTAGGAAGTTCCTGATGGGGGGTGGGTCCTGCACCCCAGATACTAAACACCACTCATAGGGGGCAAACACAAGCCACACAGTGACAACAGAACACAGATGAGTCCAAGGCAAATTTCTAACAATATACCTTTTAGCAGAGACTCATACTTTATTTTGACAAATTTAAGATAGAAAAATATCATAAAGTGAATATAGCAGTTGCTCTTTTTGTAACACGGTTTAGGATGTGCAGTGCGACTTGAAAGGCCTAGCTTAACTGAACGGTCTCATTTCTGTTTGGGTTTCAGTTAACACTGAATTATACATCAGCCATTGCATTTGCTTGAAAGAAAACTGGACACAGTAAAACTGTTTTTTAAAAAGGTTATGGCAGTCAATAACAAATATTACAAAGCAATGAACTAAAACAACCTTTCAAATATTTTTAATTACTAAAAGCCAACTTTAAACTTCATGATTAAAGCTAAGAATTCAGTTTCAAAATAGTTTTAACATTTTCTACCAATAGAACAATAGAGCACTTATATACCTTTTCAAAGTGAGGAAAATTAGAGTAAACATATTTCAGGTGACTTGAAACAGTAAACATCAATTCAGTGTAGTTAAGTACGCCATTCAATAATATATTCTTCCAAAGTGGCCATAAAAACTATAGTTCAAACTCATCAAAAAGGTGCCCCTGCATGTAATCTTTGAACTTAATTAAGTGCTGCCATCATCTCTATGCTCCATCTTTGGAGGGGGTGGTTGAAGGACTCTCCACATACGCAGATATTCGGTTATGGTCATAATGACCAAAAATGTGCCAGGAGTCTGCAGCTGAAACCCTGCCTTAATTTGTTAGTCACCTTCCCATTCTTTTGCCTCTGTGATGCCTCTGGTATTCTCAGGCTAAATAATTCACACGGGTGCTAATTTTGTTGCAGTCAGGCGTTTCAGCTTCTTTCTTTGCTCCCCTTCCCCACTCCTCCAAGCATGAAACTGGGCGGCTCCTCATTAAAATATGTCATCTTTCACATATAAAATAAGTGTATGTACATATATACATACGTGCATTTCCTTTTCAAGGACTGGGTAACTCCTCATTTTCTATCAAATAATCCTTCTTTATATACTTGGCTCCCCTAACTAACCTCCACACTTCGAGGTAAGCATCCTTTAATGAACTCCTGCCCACTTCTTCAGGGCTGTCTGAGACCTGCGAGCTCCTAGCCAACAGCGAGACCCCTCTGGGGCTGCCCCTAGCCTCTTGCCCACCCCGCTGAGTGGAGCCACCTGCTACCTTCCCACCTCCTGACCCGCCACTTCCACCCTCTGGGGGCAGCTCCTCCATGACGAACGGCAGCTGATCTCCACTCGGCTGCGCCTCCTCTCCCCCCCGCTGCGTCTCCAGGTCCTCGTAGTTGCTCTGCTTTCTAGTTTCCAAAAATTTGGCCACACAGTAAATGATGGAGCCCAGGGTGTTCACTACGACGCCGGCAATGAATAGAGAGGTGGGCTCCACATCGCTGAAGGCCACCATACCCACCGTGATGGTAGCGATGCTCTTCACCACCCCCACGAAGCTGGTGGTCACCGCCGAGTTAATGTAGGTGCAGTGCAGCGTGGTGAAGTTCATGGCACAGCCGATCAGGATGCACGCCACGAAGATGGTCACCATGGCCGGGTCCTTCCAGCCGGGGAAGGTCCAGGCGTGGATCGAGTCGGTGCTGGCGAAGGACAAGACGACCAGCAGTGGGGTGGCGGACACGGCGATGACGTACTGCGCGGTGAGCGGCCCGTGCTCCGTGTCTGCGCTCGCCTTCTGGATGAGCACCAAATAGGCGGCGTGAACCAGCACCGCCAGCACGCCGGTAACGTACCCGATGGGGTCGCCGGTCAGGTCACCGGCTCCTGGAGCGCATCGAGAGAGGTCGGATGAACGAGGGCAGGAAGGAAACAGAGAAGACACTGGGTTGGCGGGAGTTGGTATCCACTGGGGGCAACGGCGTAGGTTGGAAAGTAGGGTGTGCGCCCTAGCTCTACCCACGCGTATCGAAAGGAAAAGCCAAGTCAATTGCCCAGTTCGAGGCAGGAGAGGCGAGCCCTCCCTTCCTTATCCTCGGGGGCGTCCCGTCTGCCTCTCTCCAAGACAGAGGCTCAGGACAGCACCGATGCCCTCGGGGTAGGCGCTGTGGCTTCCCCGAGCTGGCGCGGGTGTCGCCTGGGCACGTGGTACGACTGCCACCTCCGTGGGGCACACAAGAAAGGGGGCCCCCGGCTCGTGGCTTCGCACCGGGCAGGCTGGGCATGGGGCGGCCCTCGAAAGAAGGTTTCCCGCTCCGCTGGCGCCCATCTCGCTGTCCGCGCCCAACCTGCCCGTGTCTCAATCCGCCCACCTCTGCGTAGCGCCCGCAGCCCCCCGCGCGGCGCCGGAGATCCCAAGCTAGCCTCGGGGCTCAAGCTTGGCTCGCATCGTCCCTCCCCACTCCGGCCCCGCGTGACCCAGGGAAGTTCTCGGCCCCCTCCTTCCGTCTCGGTCTGGGGGCTCTAGCTCCAGGGCGGCTCGCCCACCCCCTCCCGGAGGAAGGAAGAAATAAAGGGGAAAGACGGAAAGGGGAGGGCGAGGAGGGAAGGGCGTGACGGAGCGAGACAAGGGCGGGGGTCGGAAACCCCGAGTAGTAGTGGGAGTGGGGGCTCTAAAGGAGGAGGCCGGAGCGCAGAGGAAGACGCGGCTGGGTCTCAGGGGTCCCATCTGCTAGCGGAGCCACCGCGTTCCAAGCTCTCTGCCTCAGTCTCCCCATCTGGCAGGGAGAGCTTTGCGCTGAGTGATCCCCGAGGTCTCTGGCTGGTGGGGCGGGGTGGGCCGGGGGTCCGCGCGGGTCCAGCTCACCTGCCAGAGCCGCGCCGCAGGTGGTGATGAGCACGGCCGCGAGCACTCCCGGCGAGGGCGCTCCGTTCTTGAGCACCAGGACGCCGATGAGCATGGTGACCAGGGGCAGGCAGCGCTTGAAGACCACGTACATGGGTAGGCTGAGGCCGCGCAGGGACCACAGCGTGAGGCTGGACTGCAGCGTCGACAGCAGGGCGACCCCCGCGAAGGAGCGAGCCAGGTTCAGGCCGAAGGGGGGCACCGCGATGAACCCCAGGCGCCGCAGCAGCTCCAGGCTCAGCGCCGCGGTGGAGCTGGTCAGGCACTGCACCAGGGTCAGGAAGGAGAACTGGTAGCGGCTGATGAGGAACTTAAGCAGGATGTTGAGGGAGCCGGAGAAGACCCCGTGCGCGATGGCCACCGCGATGCCCAGCACGCGGCCCCGGCGGCACAGCTGCCGCATCGCGCCTGCCCCGCCGCACCCGGCGGTGGCTAAGCTCCGGGACCGGCGGGAGGAGAGCGCGGAAGAAGGCCGGGATGAGCGGAGCGAGGGCGGCAGGGGCGCCCGCCCAACACCGCGGCCAAGGGCAGGGGGCGCCGGCTCTGCTGCGGAGAGAAGGCAGCTCCAGGCAGGCGTCCTCGCGGCTCGGCGGTTCCGCGTCCGACTGCCCCGCAGCTTCGGGGAGGCAGGAACGGGGGCGGGGGACTCCGAAAAGTGGCAGAGGTGGGGGGGCTGGTCTGAGAGGAGTGGCGGGAATCCTAGCGACAGAGACTTGTAAGTAGGTGACGAGCGGCGATGGGTTGTGTCCCGCACGGTTTCACCGGCAGGGAAGACGCTCTGCGGCTGGAAACCCCGGCAGCTGCCGCGAGGGGGACCGGACTTGCTCCCCTCGGGCGCCCCAGCACCCGCCCCGGTAGGCTGTCGGGGCGCGGGTCCCACTTCTGCATTGCCAGCCGCTCGCGCTCGTCCCTCCTTCCCGGATCCGGGCTGGAGGATCGCGGGCACAGCTAAAGATTTTGGAAACAACAGCGTTCCGGGGCCGCATCGTGTTTATTAGCCGCAACAAGTGACAGCGCTCGCAGCCCCCTTCCCTGCGAGATGCACCGGCTTTTCCACCCACGGTTTCTCCCGGCGCAGCCGCGGGACCCTTTCAGCTGCCTGCCAGGGGAGAGAGAAACTTCGGTGCCCGCGGGTTGCCGGGCTCTCGGATGCTCGGGTGCCAACGCCCCAACGTTGAAGGAACCCAGAGCCCCCCAAGGACGCCACCGGGGCGTGCTTCACTTAGGGCGCGAGCCTGTCCCTTCCAGTCTCAGGCGACGCTCTCTCCAGTCCGTGCGCCTTCCACGGAGGGACCCGGGGTTACGCTCGCGGCTAGGAGGGCAGGGATGTTCCGGGGGGCGCCGTGGCCTTGCGGGGCTGCAAAGCCTGGGGGCGGGGGGCATGGACATCTATTGCAAGCGAGGCAACGATGTGAAATAAGCCAAAAAGCAGAATCTGAGTCCCAGTAGTGTCTAATGGTTCCCGAGGATCGCCGGTTCCCAGGGGTGAGCCGGGAGCGACTGGAGGCTCTGGGGCGTGCGGGCGCGGAGGCAGGGGAGGGCACAGTCCCGAGGGCGGGAACCCGGGATGAGACTTGATACAGCTTTCTCTGGATCCGCGCAACCGACAGCCGGCCGCTTTGGGAAGCAGGACAACCCCTACCTCCTGGCTCCCCGGCCCAGAAGATGTCCGCCTCCCACAGGACTGGTGGGCTGTTTACTTCCTATTTGGCTCAGAATAAAAATAATGAAATTCTTAATTTCTGCAGGTGCAACACTTGTGTGTTCCATTGATCTGAATTTCGTTTTCTGTAAAGTAACGTCCGGACCTGTAAACTCAGCATCAGAAGGGTTCGCCCAGCCGAGGTCACCGCTAAGAGTGAGCACAGTTTGGTTTTCGCGCTACTTAAACATGGCGGGCTGGACCAGGGCTTGCGAGCGAGGGAGAGAGCTCGAGATCGCGGCGCCCTCCCTCTCCTTTCCTTCACTTCTGTTACCCACCAGGATCCCAATCTTCTAACCACGACAATGACACACGACACATTCCCCCAGCAATTCTTTTTTGTCCTCCACACTTTCACCGCATCATTTCCAGTCCAGATGTTGAAGTCGCGATTATTATTGGTGCCAGAAGGAAAAGAACAGTTTACATCGGGGATAGGTACAGTCATAGCGATCTTTCATCCTGGCCGGCTCCGTGTGTGCTGGGAGCTCACGTGGGTGGGAGGCCTGTCTCTCGCTGGGATGCCCAGGGCCTAGCAGGGCCACCTCCCCGCCACCCCCCCCCCCCACAGGTGAGTATTCAAGAAAATGTCTTCAGAATGGCCCCTGTGTCAATTTTCCAGGAACAACACTGGATAGTATTATACTTATAGGCAGTGCTTCCGGTTCCCTGGGGAATTCGTGGGTTTGGGTTCTTTTTGGTGTGTGTGTGTGTGTGTGTGTGTGTGTACTTACAATCTGTGGTTACACACCATTGGCTATTTCAGGGACTCTATTCTTCAACTGTTGATGTTATTTCTTTAGAAAATGAGGTTTGAAGCAACAGTTGACATTTATGTGTGTGGTATAAGCCTATATTCAAAGTATACTCATAAAAACTTTGAAAATTAATTTTTTAAAGACAGCATACCACAAATACCACAGTTCTACTTCTGGGGGCTGTTCCAATCAAAGAATGGTGGTTTTAAGCCATATTAAGTGAATATAAAGAATTGTCTGCACAGACCTAGTTTTGGAATGATTCATTTCTGCCAGCAATTATAATTGCTTCCATTTGTGATGCTAACATTAAGTAAAAGATTTGAGGCTGATTCAGCTATCTTACTCTTCTCATTTAAGCAAGAATATTTAGCTTAATTTGAAACCTGCTTTGGCATAGAACAGTACATTTTCTCCACTTAACTGCAGATAATTCTTTTCCATTAGGGCTTTCATTTTTAAAAAAGTTAATACCATCTCCCTCACCAGTTACTAGATAAGCTCCTAAAAGAAAAAATGGGAAATCTCCTGAAGAAAAATGGGCGGTGGGTGGGAATAAGAATACCATTCTTAACAAGGTTAATTGAACATGAATGTCAATCTGAAGGTCAAAAAACTTATTTGACTTACTGGTATCCAGGGTCTAGGCTCAACCTCCATTTTCTTTGAAGCCACACAATAAATTTTTACAGTGTTAAATAAATCCTTGAGTTCATTTATTCAGTGAATATATCCAGCTAGTGTGTCGTACCAGGCCATCTCTTAGCCACAGAGGATTCAAAGATAAACGCCCATCTTAGTCCTTACGGGATTCGCAGGAGATAAGGTAACACAATGACACTTGTACAACAGTGGGGGCTTGTGCCAGAACCAGGGGAGTGCCAAGGAGGGCAGCAACATCAGCCTGAGAAGTGCATCAGAGAAGGCTTCCTGGAGAAGGAAATAAGGTCTTATTTCATCATTTTAATTGCAAAAATAAGGCATGCTCATTATACTATGTAAGAGGAAAACAAAATTTATAAATAAGCAAACATGCTGTCTTCAATATTTCCCACCCCCAGGCCCACTAGAGAAGAGCTGGCTACTGTTACGAGTTTGACATGAACATTTCAGGTTTTCTTGTATACATATGGATGCATACATAAGCCCTCCTTCAAAAAAAAAATAAACTTACGCTATCATACACACCTGTCTACCTATAAAAGCACATTGTGGCAACCAGCCTCTAAGAGAGTCCCCAAAGATTGCTGGCTTCCTCATCTTTACACCCTGTGAGCCCCCTCCCACGTTCTACCATAGGTGGTCTGAGGGATGCAGCAGAAGTGATGGCGTCACTCCGGAGATGAGTATGAAAAAGACCGAGGCTTCCATGTTGAATTTTCTTTCTCTTATATCAGTCAGTCTCAGGGAGAGCCAGATGCCGTGTTTCAGGGACACTTCAGCCAGTGGAGGGTTCTACACAGTCAGTATCCGAGGCCGGCTAACAATCACCTGGGTGACTTTGGAGGCATTATTTACACGGGGAGTTTGTGAGCACGTTGGTGTTCCTGGGGCACAAATCTGTGACAGTGTTGGGAGAAGCAACACTGCAGATAGAGGCAAGGGCTAGCCCCAGAGGGCCCTGGCTGCCTGGTTAGTGAGCTTGAACTTTGTCCTGTAGGCAACCCTATAAGCAGAGAAAGGTTCTACACTGAAATTGATGTAATCACATTGCATTTTTGATCAGCCTCCGGCAGCTGTGTTGAGAAGGATGGCTCTGAGGGCCCAGAACTCAAAACAGACACATCATTTAGGAAAACTGCAGCAATTGTCCAGAGAAAAAGCTAATGAGGGCTTGAACCAGGGCAGTGGTGTTTGGATTGAGGAGAAGAGACACAGCGGAGAAGTATTTAGCGGGTAAGAGGGATAGGACTTAGTGACTTATTTGATGTATCTTGGAGTGGAGAGGTGGGACTAAGGAAAGGAGCAAGGATGGCATTAGGAGTTTAGCTTGAGCTCCTGGGTGGACTGTACTGACAACAAATGAAAAACGCACGTGCAGGAGCCCATGCAGTGAACAAGATGAATTTGGTTAAATTGGGAGACCCAGGTGGGAAGGCAGGAGATCCGGGAGTAGTCAGTATGAACATATAAGTAGATTCTCTCTTTCCAAAAAGAGGCCTATTAAATAAGAAATTGATGAGTTCATTTCTGGAAGAGCCAAATTATAGTTAAGATACAGAGAGAGTGCTCACTGCCAAAAGCAGAAGGGACAGCTGACCCTCAGCCTGGGTCTTCCCAGATGAGAGATGCTTTAGGAGGGCCACCCCAGGACCACGGTGTTTCTTAGCTCTTTAGACTTGGAAACACAATATTGTCAGTTTAGACTTGGAAGCAATTCTCTTAGCAATGATGAGGATCTAGTTACCGGAGAGTCCCACAACTTTCTATTTCTCAGTGGGCTAATTTCTGGTATTCCTAAGAAAAAGGCAATGGAGCAGGACCAGATCCAGTTACAGCTGATTTCAAATTCCAGCTCCATACTTCCTGGCAATTATGGCTCCTGAGCGCCTTCGTTTCCGTGTCTGGAAAATGGGAGGGCTTCCTTGCAGGGATGTCATAAAAATTAAAGGGAATAAGATAGAGAAAGCATCTCGTGTGATGCCCAGGTCACAGACGATGCCCAGTGACCCGAGCTCCCGTCCTACAGTCACTCCTCAGGGCTGTGCTCTGGCTGCAGGGACAGGGGAACTTGGGAGAGGCAGACGGGGATGAAACTCGAGAACTCAGCCGCCAGGAGACAAATTCTGATTTTCCCAACCTAGAGGGACGACTGGCTGTCCTCTCAGAGTCCAGAGGCAGCTTGGCTTGTGAATTACTGAGAATTCAAAAATCTTGTGCATTCTCTTTCAGGATACAATCCAGCTCCTTTCCCTCTAGCTTGACAATCCTAGCTCAAGGCACTCACTAAATAAATGTTCCTCCACCCTCCTTCAGATTAACAGACCCCAAGCACCCAAGGTAAGTATTATGAAGTAGTGCTCTAAACAGCTCTAACATCCCCAAAACAGAGGGGGAAAAAAAACCAAGAGGGATATTAGTTTTTAAATGACCAGTGTCTGTTTCAAATGATACATGGTAAATTATTTTAATAAAATCTCTTGCATTCTAAAAGGAAAATAAGTCATTTCCTTTCATTGTAAACATGATCTGGGTTAGGTATTTTAGAAGATCTATTATAAATTCTGCCCATACAGAGAATACCAACTGTGAACCTGCTTTTATTGAGCTGCATACACTTGGTGCAAGAGTTTGTCTTTCTTACAGAGGGAAGCAACACAAAAGCAGCTTATGAACTGACCTCGTGCCAGCTCTAAGCATGTGCTTGAGCACCTTGCACCTTACAAGACAGTCATGTGAAGCAGTGTCCTCTCTATGGGGGCCTCTCAAAAACAGTTAGCACTGATGGGTCTAAGAACCAAAAACAGTGAATACTTTCATGAGACAGATATTCACTGAACACTTTCTGGGTGCCGGGCATGGTGCCAGGGCCAAGCCAGAATGAGGTCCTTGCCCTCAGGCCCTGGCCACTGCATCCTGTACTTGACCAGACTTTCCATTTATGCTTCCAGTAGCAACTTTCTAAAACGTCTTCTCAGAAAACATGTATTTTCAAGCCCATGCTTTGCTCCACTTTATGTTTCCTTTTTTTTATCTTTGTATCTTGTAAGTTGTCTTGTTTTTCTGCAGAAACCAGGAAATATGTAAATTAGACAAAATACATATATTTTATTTTTGTTCTGATAACTACAAGTGTATTTTGCTCTTTACAAATTCTCAAAAACTTGTTAAAAATTTAATGACAGTTTTTGCCATTTGTAACATTTTTTAATTGAAGGACACTTGGTTTACAGAATTTTGCTGTTTTCTGTCAAACCTCAGCATGAATCAGCCATGTGAAAGTGAAAGTTGCTCAGTCATGCCCAACTCTTTGCAATCCCATGGACTATGCAGTCCATGGAGTTCTCCAGGCCAGAATACTGGAGTGGGTAGCCTTTCCCTTCTCCAGGGGATCTTCCCAACCCAGGGATGGAACCTAGCGCTCTCACACTGCAGGCAGATTCTTTACCAGCTGAGCCACTGGAGTCAGTCACAGGCGTACATATATCCCCTCCCTTTGAACAAAGTTGTCTATCTACTACTTTTTCTTTTTTAACCTAATTTTTTATGGATCATCACATCTTAAGGTTTTTCACGACTTAAGGAGGTAGTGAAGAGGGTTTATGGCATTAATTAGGATATTTCATTATTAGTTATGAATTAACTAAGTTAATTAGTTTTAAGGTAATTTCCTGAAACCTTGGTAGGACCTAAGACTTTTTGCCCAGGGACCAGTTTTTCAAAAATGTGATTATGGAGAAATAGGAAGAGAGAAATATAGGGTCATGGGTATAATATCTAAAACTATTTGAATAAAAGTAAAATACACGTAAGCTCTTAACTCTCAGCATCCTTTTTTTAAAAATAATTTTATTCACTTATTTTTGGCTTGCTGGGTCCTAGTTGCTGTGCATGCTTCTGTCTGAAGTTGCAGCGAGGCGGGTACTCTCTAGCTGTGTGCAGGTTTTTCACCTGTGGAGGCTTCTCTTGTTGCAGAGCACAGGCTCCAGGAATGTGGGATCAGGAGCTGTAGCTCCTGGGCTCTAGAGCACAGGCTCAAAAGTTGTGGCACACGGACTTAGTTGCTCTGCGGCATGTGGGGTCTTCCTGGACCCAGGACTGAACCCGAGTCTCCAGCATTGGCAGGCTCTTTACCACTGAGCCACCAGGAAAGCTCCTATGTTCTTACGTGTGATGGACACCAGTCCTTGAGAGACTCTCATTCATTCTGTCAAGCACGTAGTAGATGCTCAATAATTAATCGCTGAATAAATCTGCAGTTCTTAGAGCCCTGTTACTATAACCATAGATGTATCTATATTATATAGTGTTATATATAGATACACTGTATTAGAAAAAGTAACCTTGGTGGGGGTGTCATAAAATCATAAATGATCAAGAGATGCCGTTTATTGTGATTTTTATCAATAGCAGTCATTATATGTTAAATCACAAATGACAAATTAAAAGTGAAATATATCACTATCAATATAATCTACGGAGCTCCCATATTTTAATCCATTTTATAATAGGTTATATTTTAATAGATACTACAAGATACACCATACACCATAACTTCAATTATTCTTAAGATTTTTAAGAAATATGGCTTATGTACCAGGCTTTAAATAGTGAGCTAAAGTCTTTATCAGCTGCCTCAAAATTGATTCCAAAATGAATTTGTAAAATTTGAAATATGAATAGTATATAAAAACATAAAATCTATATCATCAATAATTTCCTGCTAAGCAGTTCTTCAGTCAGTCTCCTTTGTTTCTGAATGGAGAAGTTTGTCTCAAGCCAGCATGGTAAGACAAACAGGATCATATATCTTTATTGTTTCATCCCAAGCACAGTCAGCCACCTGGAAAACAAAAAGGAAGTGAGAAGAAACAACCCACAAACGTTCAAAATTGGGAGAAAAAAGCCTACGTCACTTGTGTAAGTAGATCATCCACCACAGAACAGATCTTTAAATAGGTGGAACACAGGAACGCGTTTCTGGAAAAAAGTCTATTTCCCCTTTTTAAGATACACTTTGGGGCTTGTTTCCAACTGACTGAAGTTGCCTGTAAGGGTTTCCCACCAGAGCTAACATAATTCCTGAGATCAATGTTGAAAAGGTACATTCCTAAACTGTGAACCAAGACACCATACCAGCTATTATGGGGATAAAAAAGAAGGTAAAGCATAGTGCCTGCCTTCAAAGAATGGCTCATTCAAAACCAAAAGTGGAAAGTGCTCTAATAGACTCTCAGGGAAGCAATTCTTTGAATCTAGCTGGGAAAGTGTCAGAAGATTTCACAAATCCACTGCATTCACACTGGCCCTTTTCAGGGGCAGATATGGGGTAGACATAGACATTCAAGTCTAAAAAGTCATATAAAAACATGAAGGGAAGATAGTTCAGGGTGCTCAGGAAATGTGTGTTAAAAAACTGGTAGGTATAGCAATATCTCAGGTATCAAATCAATCGTATTTCTGTATACCAAGAGAAAATTTTTAAACTGCAAATAAAAAATTCATTTAGAATAGCATCAAATAACAAAATACTTAGAAACACATTTAACAAAAGGTATGCAAAACATCTACCCTAAAATGCAGCTGAGAGAAATTAAAGATGGCCCAAATAAATGGAAAAGATACCATGTGCATGGGTTCGATATTTATTAAAAAGTTAATTTTCCCCCTAAATGATTTATAAAAAATTCATAATCTCAGCAAGCTTTTTAATAAAAAATGTAGAAGATGACTTTTAGTTTATGTAGAAAGACAGGGGATCTAGAATAGCCACAAAAATTTTGGAAAAGAACAACACAGTTATACTGTTTACTGGAGGTGAGACTAATCATAAAACAAAAGCAATCAAGACAGTGCAATACTGTAAGAAGGATATACAAGCAGATCAAAGGAACAGAACACAGGTCTGGAACAGACCCAACACTTGGGCAGCTGCTTTTTAACAAATGTTCCAAAACAATCCAATAGGGAAAGAGAAGTCTTTTCAACAAATGATGCTAGAAATGGATGGCCATATGGAAAAAATAAGAATTAAACCCCAACTTCACACCATAAAACAAAAGTTCATTTAAGATGGATGGATCACAGACTGAAATATAAAAGCTAATGGTATAAAGCTTTTAGAAGAAAACACAGGAGACATATAGTCTCAATCTGAGGGCAAGCAAATATTTCTTAAACAGGAAGTAATAACCATAAAGATTAGATAATAGACTCAATCAAATAAAACTTTTGATCCTCCAAAGACACTGCTAAGAAACTGAATAAGCGAGTGGGAGACAATATTCACAAAATAGACATCTGGCAAAGAACCTGTATCCAGAATATATAAATTACTATAACTCAGTAATAAAGACAACCCAATTAAAAAATGGACAAAAGACTTCATTAACAGATAAGAATATATAAATGATCAGTAAGCACATAAAAACATTCAATACCATTAGGCATCATGGAAATGCAAATAAAAACCACAATGAGATACCATTACATACACACAAGAATGGCTAAAATTAAAGATGTGCTGTGCTGTGCTTAGTCACTCAGTCGTGTCCGACTCTTTGTGACCCCATGGACTGACGCCCGCCAGACTCCTCTGTCCATGGGCTTTTCCAGGCAAGAATACTGGAGTGGGTTGCCATGCCCTCCTCCAGGGGATCTTTCCAACCCAGGGATCGAACCCAGGTCTCCCACACTGCAGATGGATTCTTTACCATCTGAGCCACCATGGAAGGCCAACAATACTGGAGTGGGTACCCTATCCCTTCTCCAGGGGATCTTCCCGACCCAGGAATCAAACTGGGGTATCCTGCACTGCAGGCAGATTCTTTACCAGCTGAGCTATCAGGGAAGCCCCAAAAGTAAAGACTGACAACATCAAATGTTAGAAGGGATGCAGAGGAGCTGTAACTCTCATGTGTGTTATGTGTGTTAAGCTGCTTCAGTCGTGTCCAACTCTTTGCAACCCTATGGACTGTAGCCCGCCAGGCTCCTCAGTCCATGGGATTCTCCAAGCAAGAATACTGGAGTAGATTGCCATGCCCTCCTCCAGGGGATCTTCCCAACCCTGTGGGAAGGAACCTGTGTCTCCTATGTCTCCTGCATTGCCACATTGGTTGTTCTTTACCACTAGCGCCACCTGGGAAGCCCGTGCTGATATAACCACTGTGGAAAGCTGGCTGTTTCTTATAAAGTTGAACACGCACCGAGTGATTTCACTCCTAGAGGGGCTTCCAACAAAACTGAAAACATGTTTACAAAACAGTGTATATAAGCATGTCCTTAGCAACCTCATTCACAATAGCACACAACTGGAAATGACCATAAGACATACAAAAGAATGGCTGACAAACTGCAGTAAATTCAAATAGAATGCTGTTAAGCAACACAACGGAGGCAACTACTGATGGAGGGGGGAGCAACATGGATGAATCTCACAGACAGTAAGTGGGTGAAAGAAGACAGAAACAAGAGGACACACAGGAGATGCCATCATGTAAGTTCTAAAACAGGCAAAACTAATCTCAGGCAAAATAAAAAATTAAGGAAATGGTTGTTTTGTCTTTTCAATTGGAGGGAGGGATGGGGCTAGGGAGAGTCTGGAAAGGAGAACAAGGAAATTTGAAAGGAAGATGCAATTGTTTTGGATTGCAATGAGATGTAGATTACACAAGTGTATCTGTTTGTCAAAAACCTATATATAAGATTTGTACATTTCAGTGTATGAAAATGACACCTAGAAACAGTACGAATAATAATGATGGTAATAAAAATTGAATGAGGACATGAGTAGAAGAATAAACAAAACAAGAATGTTGGTAACTGTCAAATCTGGATAATGGATTGTATTATCCTATTGTTTACTTTCTATACATTTGAAATTTTCCAGAGTAAGTAAGAGAAGGAAATGAAAAAATGTAGACAGTAACATCAAGGATGAAGCAGCAAGAGAGGGATTTGACCAAAGTTATTTGCACTGTATTTCCCATCCTTTAATGGTTGCAAAGGCTGAAAGTTACACAAGGGAACTCAAAGTCTCAGTCAATCAAATTACCTGGCTGTCACTATAGAATACAGGAACTGCGGAGATTAATCAGAACATAGAGTAAAGTGAAAGTTGCTCAGTCACATCTGACTCTTTGCAATACCAACGCACTATACAGTCCACAGAATTCTCCAGGCCAGAATGCTGGAGTGGGTAGCCTTTCCCTTCTCCAGGGGATCTTCCCAACCCAGGGATCAAACATAGGTCTCCTGCATTGCAGGCGGATTCTTTACCAGCTGAGTCACAAAGTAAGCCCAATCAGAACAGATAAACTCCTTATCATTCACTAACAGTATCTCAGCTCAGAACCCAAGCTAGAGAAAGCATGAAAGACCTTTCAGTCAAACTTTTAAAATTTAGGCATTAAAAACCAGACTCTTCAAGATTTGGTTGCTACCTACTTCTGTTTCTCCATGCACCAGGCTCACACACTCAAATCCTGGCATCTTGTCCATGTGCCTCTGTGCTCATGTCTTCTTACTGATCCCCTCCACTGAATAACCTTTCTCCTTCCCTTCCTCTCTGGCCCTTATCTTGCTTTGCCTGGAGATGACACCTCTTTGCAGAAGAATCCATTTAAGCATTACCTCCTCTGTGAAGTCATTCACTGTACCTATAATATATCAGCTGTGCTTATTTATTAACAAGTGTTTCCAGGTCTTTGAGGGCATGGACCATGTTGTGCTATAACTTAACAATGATTCAAAAAAGATTAGCTCAAAGAATGAGTTTTATAGATTAAGACTGCAGAGCTTAACTTTTTCTCATATTCACACTACAGCAGCAGAGGTGGAACCAGAACCTAACACTGCTGAGTCTGTCCACTGAAAATCATGGCCTCACACTCATTATCTGCCTAATCCTGCAACTGTAAATTTTTATACCCCAAAACACAAAGATTATTATACAAATTTATTTGCCTCATTTATGTATACAGTTTTTCAAGTGCTGGGCCTTTCTGTATGTTGTGTCAACTATTACAGAAAAGATAATCAGGGAAATGAGACAAGCTTCTAATATAATGTATCTGTAACTTATGTTTCTGAATCCTTATTCAGCACTCTTCAATCCAGCTTCTTACCTACTGAGAACTTATATTTATATATAAATAAATAAATAAATAAAACTAACAAATGTCAAGGCCACTGAATCAGCAAATGTTCATAACTCTACACTAAATTAATTGATAATATGAGAAAGACCTAAAATTGCAAGGATACAGAATCATGACTAGATTATGGGCTTCCCAGGTGTGTGAGTGGAAAGAATCCGCTTCCTAGTGCAGGAAATGCAAAACATATGTGTTTGAGCACTGGGTCGAGAAGATCCTCTGGAGAAGGAAATGGCAATACATTCCAGTATTCCTGCCTAGAAAATCCCATGGACAGAGGGGCCTGGTGGACAAAAGTCTATGAGGTTGCAAAGAGTTGGACATGACTGAGCATGCACGCACAGCCAGTATTCCTGCCTGGAAAACCCCATGGACAGAGGGGTCTGGGGGGCTACAGTTCAAGGGGTTGCAAAGAGTTGGACATGACTGAGCACACATGAATAGACTGATTCAAATTAATGCAAACACTCTTTACACATTAACTAATTAACTATTTAATTAAACCCCATCTAGTGCTGGGCTTCTCCAGTAGCTCAGTGGTAAAGAATCCTCCTTCTTGCTAATGTAGGAGACACAAGTTCAATCCCTGGGTCTGGAGGATCCCCTGCCGAGGGAAATAGCAACCCATTCCAGTATTCTTCCCTGGAAAATCCATGGGACAAAGAAATCTGGCAGGCTACAGTCCATG